CAACGAATTTCATAATAAAGTGAGGAAGATGTTAGCAAAGCCATTAACCATTCTTACCTCTTTGATGATAATAATGTTAGTGTTCCGGCATCTGAAATAATAAGTTATTGTCAAAAATCAGTAATGCTTAGTTTAATAAATGAGATTCGCACAGCTGACTGTACAGTCTTTGATTAAAAACCGACAATCAATCGACGAGAYGGACGACTTTGTATTTACATTTTAGTCTTTGTATATATCATGTAGAATTACGGGCTTCCTGTGTATACCTTCCTGTGTACAGTCAGAAATCAGATCAAGCGCGAGCGTGCGATTAGCCAATCAGAAGAAATCGCGGGAATCGAACGCTCGCGGCTTTTCGGCTAGTTCCACAAGTGCTTTCGAGTTTTCGTAAATGGCAATATTCAGACGATTTGTATAAAATCAAAGATAGCATTTCTGTTTCTTTTGTTAACAATATTTAAGTCTTTCTGAGAAAGCCCCAAAGAAAGGACTAAATTATTTTTTATGCGTTTTACATTTAGCACTTCAGTGCCTTCGTCCTCACACCTTGGTCCATATTTCAAGCTTTTKTCTAGATTAGTTTGGGAACAGCAAGAATTAAACCATTGAGAGCGCTCATCTGCTTACAAGTGATCTAACAACACCTCAAAACTTCAACTTCGCCCTCCGATCCGACTTTGTTAACATTTTTGTGGGACAACATGGCTGCCATTACGTGTCCTCTATTCTCATTAGCCAATCCCGCGCGCGCAAATGACGCTTTTGATTTGTCGTAACTATATATTACAACATAACCATAACATGAATATAGCTGATTAAAAAAAAAGCTTAAAAACAACAGCAACAAAAGCAAAATACAAAGTTTTTATCAATTCATGAAAAGAATGACCATGACACACAACAGATTAGTGAAATGTGTATTCATTGAGTAATCATTTTGGACTATATATGTTTAGCTCTGGYCTGTAACCTCTGTGCGGACCCTGTACGAATCTGGGTCGGGGCGCCTAATGTGATCTGAGTTTCATTCGTTTTCTCCCTTGCTTTGAGGGTTTTTCCGGTTTTTTCTCAGTCCCTCAATAAAAATGAACTATTTCTGTCTGCTGTGCTCCGCGYTCAGCCGCCTATTTGTAAGTGTATGCAAAATGTGTCTGTAATATAGCACTTCGACTTGAGAGTCAGTGCCGAAATTATTTTTTGAAGCTTTTCATGTCTTTAAAGCATTTAAATTTATCCCAGAATTTTGGAATGAAAAGGGTTAATGTAAAACCATAAACCATCACTAAACTTAAATAYATAAATAAAAAGTAAGATAAAACAACAATAAAAAATATACAAATCATATTCTTATAATTGAAATTTCTGAACGTTTTGGTCCCTTTCTKAAATATGATAACAAAAAATGACATCGATGTTATCTTGCTACGTGTCGACAAATCTA